GACTCTGCACCAAACGATGAAGAAGGAGGACGCCCACCTGGGGCCCAAACCTCACAAGACCCGAGTAGCCGGAAACCCGGAAATTAAATAAATTCCAAAACCGAAAAAGTGCTCGAAGGAATTGGAATTCCCGGATCAAATTCCGCACACGGGTAGAGGGAATTTTTTCCGCGACAATAAGTCCGAACCAAGAAGATCGGCCGAACAGAAACCGAGAATTTCGGAAAAACAGGAAAAAGTTACCCAAGGAGCGGCCCGGTACAGCTCCCGCCTACGGGAGGAACCCATTGGCGAAAACAACTTTTCAAAAATTCGCAGAAAAATACAGAAGCAACGTAGGCCGATGACTCTGCACCAAATGATGAAGAAGGATGACGCCCACCTGGGGCCCAAACCTCACAAGGCCTGAGTAGCCAGAAACCCGGAAATTAAATAAATTCCAAAACCGAAAAAAGTGCTCGAAGGAATTGGAATTCCCGGATCAAATTCCGCACACGGGTAGAGGGAATTTTTCCCGCGACAATAAGTCCGAACCAAGAAGATCGGCCGAACAGAAACCGGGAATTTCGGAAAAACAGAAAAAGGTTACCCAAGGAGCGGTCCGGCACAACTCCCGCCTATGGGAGGAACCCATTGGCGAAAACAACTTTTCAAAAATTCGCAGAAAAATACAGAAGCAACGCAGGCCGATGACTCTGCACCAAATGATGAAGAAGGATGACGCCCACCTGGGGCCCAAACCTCACAAGGCCTGAGTGGCCAGAAGCCCGGAAATAAAATAAATTCCAACACAGAAAAAAAAGTGCTCGAAGGAATTGGAATTCCCGGATCAAATTCCGCACACGGGTAGAGGGAATTTTTCCCGCGACAATAAGTCCGAACCAAGGAGATCGGCCAACCAAAACCGGCAAATTCGAAAAAACATTACTCAAGGAGCCACCCGGTACAGCTCACGCCTATGGTAGAAGCCCATAGGCCGCAGAGCCAGTGCAGAAATAAGACACCTCGAGGGATGACGCAACCCAACGAACGAGGGAGGAAACCTGACACCCACGTAACAAAGCGGACGTCGGAGCCAGCAATAACAGCATTACGTAATAACCAGACCAACGCAGAATATGACACTAGCGAGAGATACCCGAGTGGAAGAAACCGAACACCATGAGCAAAACGATGAAGGGCAACTGGCAACCGCAGCAAGAAATTGGAAACCGGAGCAGAGAACAGAATAACAAATCGACGCACTGCCCGACCAAAAGATGAAACATGACACCCGCACTCAGCGAAGAGGTTACCACGGGACCGCAGCGACAAAACGTCAGAGCAGAAACGATACACCTTCAGGAATAACTCAGCCTGACAAAGAAGAGCGGAAACACGACACCCACGGTGACAAAGTGACGAGATAGCGCATAGAGACCACAGTACCAGTCCACACCGGTAAACAACGGATAGGGCACGATCCCAGCGCCACCAACCACTCAGCATAAAGGAACACCAGCGCCACCAACCACTCAGCATAAAGGAACACCAGCGCCACCAAACAGTACAAAAGACACGACGGTGCAAAACAAACCACCATAACCAGCGAGACTGTGCGAGCAACGGACCTTGCTCGACGACCACGCATTGCCACATCACAACGGAACTACGCCCAGTACAACAGCTAAGTCGAGGAGGACGGACGTGCGCTCCCGGGAAGCTTTGATCCACTGGTGCCCTCACTATAGTTGAACATTACTGTTCATACTGTGGTGTTGCACCTAGTCCGCTAACGCAGAAAACTTCTTCAAAACCACCCCGGCGCTGAAAGTGTGCCCTGAGAAGGGAGTGAAACAGTGAACAGCAACCGACATCGCCCGACATCTCAAAAGTGAGTCCAACGCAGTCACCAGGTCGACCGAGAAACCGAGCGCAGGGCGACTAACACAAGTTCACCAACATGAAAATACTACAAATTAACCTAAATAACAGCAAAGCCGCCCACTCGGTGCTAGAGCTCACCGTCAAAAAAGGGAAATACGACGTTTGCATCATAAGCGAACCAAACCAGAAAATCCTCAAGAGGAAGGCAGCAGCCAGCCCAAACTGGCTCCCCTCCAGGGACTACACAGCGGCGATCTGGCTCACGGGCCAAAGCAAAACAATCGGCATCGGACATTCCCGCTCCCTAGAAAACATGGTTCAGGCAAGACTGACGAACGACATACACATAATTAGTTGCTACTGCTCCCCAAACGTGGACATGGAAGAATTTGAAAGATTCAGAGAAAGACTGACAAGCATCTCGGAAGAAATCAGGAGTAGCAAAGTAATAATCGCAGGCGACGCCAACGCAAAAAACCCCTTATGGGGAAGCGACTACCTCACGACAAAAGGAGAGAAGATAGAGGAACTAATCAGGGAAAGAAATCTCAAAGTAATAAATCAAGGAAGCCGGCCAACCTTCAGCAGAAGAGCCCAGGAGTCACATATAGACATCACCCTCGCGGGAGAACAAATCGAGCCAAGCATCAGGAACTGGCAAGTCCTGGAGGAAGAGACCATGAGCGATCATAACTACATAAGCTTTGAAGTCGAGCTAAATAGAACACCGAGCAGAAGAAGGAGGGAAAAAAGGACAGATATGCGATACCTAGACCTGGCCAAACTAGCCAAAGAAATCAAGGGAGATAGAACACGCACCGAGACAACGGAACAAATCACAACCCTGCTCAAAAAAGCCTCGGCCAAAGCAGAAATCAAAATAGGAGAAAACTCTGCAAACAAGCCCCCAGTCTACTGGTGGAATCAGGAAATTGAAATTGAGAGGAAAAAGCTTATAGCCATCAGAAGAAGTATGGCCAGAGAGAACAAAAGAATCAGGAGAGGAGAAACGGATCAAACAAACATCCAAAGGCTGAGTGAAACACATAAAGTTACTAAGAGGAGCTACAGAAATCTCATAAGCAAATCAAGGAGCGCCTCATGGAGAGCACTATGTGACACCATCGAGGACGACCCATACGGTCAACCGTATAAAATAGTAATGAACAAAATGGGCGCCCCAAGACCACAAATAGAGGAATCAATGATCCCGCGGATCATAGAAGCCTTATTCCCAACACAGGAAGAAATACAGCCAACCTACATCCCAGTGGAAGACGACGTGCCGGCCGTTACCAAGGAAGAGGTCGAAGCACTGATCGAGAACACGCCTATGAAGAAGGCGCCCGGCCCAGACGGCATACCAGCAGAGTTGATCAAAATACTACTGAAACTAAGACCGGAAGCCTTCACCAACATGGCCAATAGGTGCCTGAGGGAAGGACGGTTCCCCGAAGAGGGGAAAACGGCATCCTTGATTCTCCTCCCAAAGGCAAACAAGCCACCAGGAGACCCAGCGGCATATAGGCCAATCTGCCTAATAAACACCATGGCTAAGGCCCTGGAATCAATCATCAACATGCGGCTGACAAAAGAACTCGAGGAGAGGGGAAAATTCTCGGAAAATCAGTACGGCTTTAGGAAAAAAAGGTCCACCATCGCCGCAGCAGATAGAATCATGACCATCGCCACCGAAGAACAGAACAAAAGCAAATACACCAGGAGCCTCCTCTTGCTAGTCCTACTGGACGTGAAAAATGCATTCAACTCCCTCAACTGGGGCTCTTCGCAGAAGAGCGAAGCAAAATCTATAAAACAAGACACGAAAGACAAAACCACCCGGTCGAACAAATCAAGGAAAGTACAATGAGAAAATGGCAGGAGAAATGGGCCGACTCAGGCGGAAGAAAAGGCGCATGGACAAAAGCGCTGATCCCTGAAATCAGCAAATGGGTAAACAGAAGGCATGGGGAACTAACCTACGGCCTCGCTCAGATCCTCACCGGGCACGGAAAATTCCAATCCTATCTCCAGAAAATTGGGAGAACACCGACCGATAAGTGCGTATACTGCAGCATCAACGAAGCGGATGACGTAATCCACACACTATACAAATGTGAAGCCTTCCAAGGAATCCGGAGGAGCCTTGTGATATCAGAAGGCCAAAACGGACTTCAGGCCCTGAAAAACAAAGTCAGTGAAATGCTAGAATCTGCTGAAAAATGGGAGGAAACTGTCAGGGAAATTGACAGCATCATGAGACACAAAACTCACCTGGAGCGTCAAAATATAGCAAGCGACGCGGCAAACGGAGCCGGGAACGAAGTACCAGACGAATAAACATCTCACCCGGAACGAAAGAAAACGAGACACCACAGCAACCACGTGACCACGAGACCCTCACACAACTGGCTAGCGGAAGAACCCCGAGACAACCCGGCAGCGGGCAACACGACACTCGGACGACGAAAGGAAAGCAAACCAAACCACATACTTAGACTACCCGAGCTGAAGAAACATGACACCAGCGCTATCAAAGCAGGCGCACTACCAAACCACAAACCACCGGCCATGGCGATCACCGGCTCCTAGGGCAATGGTCAGCCCGGAGCGCGGTTGAGAATCGCCCGTGCCACGAACGCCCGAAGAGCAGGCAAAATCAGGATCAAGCTAACAGGCCTACGGGCAGATTAGCATAACGCAACATGGATGGACCACAGCCGGAGAGTCCACGTGCTCTGAAGAGCGCCACCTACCAAAAAAACATACGAGCAACGCACCAAACGCGGCAAGATACAAGGAACCGCGATAACTGCGGAAAAACAACGACAACCGCGTCGAAGAAAACTCAATGATTGCGAAATCTACATAACACGACTAGAGAATCGACCCAGCAGTGGTAGGCTGGTCGCGTCAGAAAAGGAAACAGAAAAAAATGGACAACGACAAAAAGATGGACAAGCAGAGAGCCTACGAGCTCCGACAAAAAGGGCTAGCGCGACCACCGGCTTGCAGGGCACTGGTCCGCCCGGAGCACGGTTGAATATCGCCCATGCCCACGAATTCATATTCAACAGCACGAAATGCAAGAAGCATCAACATAAGGACAAACAGCGCAGATAAAGAGCAGGAAACATAACAGTCAAGTGTAATCCCCTGGCGGGGTCCTGATGAAATGCTTGCGCTCAAGTGATATCCAGGCCCCGTTCAGATGAGAGGAGAAGGTAGTTTTAGTGGGTGCGAGCCCCACACTCCCTTGCGGAACCCAACCACCCGCACCAAATGCTGTGCCTACGGCGCGCCGCCATGGGCTGGCATTGCGTGCCTGGCCATGGCGGAGCCTACAATACCAGTGATTCGGCCCAGTTTTTCCTAGTTTTTCTTCAAAATTCTTCATTCCGGCAGTAACTACTCCCTAAAATGGGAGAAAAACAGTACAGTGAACAGTGCTAAAGTGCTCAAAAACATGGAAAACAAGCAACGAACGACGGAAAAGCCGCGAAGAAGGACAGGAGCACCAAAGCCGTGGATTCGGTGCAGAAAAGGACAAAAAGTGAAAAAAACCCTGTGCAACCTCAACGAATCTCGAGAAGAGAGAACAGGTTAGTAAAACAGTGAAAGCAAACAACGAGTCGGAGCACAGACTTTTGCAACGGCCCAAAACACATCAGAACCCAAAAACGAGGTTCTTTCGTCGAAAATCAAAGACGCAAGATCTAAAAGTCACACAGAAGCGAGGAACATACCTGTGAACACCCCAAGGGGAATACTATGACACAACGCACCAAGGAGCAACACAGCAAGAAAGAATTTGAAAAGCAAGACTTCTCCAGAAAACTGCAGATTATCGTGGAAAATCGACCAGAACTCACGCAAAGATAGCCCAGCGAAAAGATTGTGGAAAGCTCCACGAAGCAACGCACCAGCGAACCATACAGCAAGAGGACACACGGGAAGCAAGGATTCTGCAAAACCGCGAAATCTTGCCAAAAAAATTGACATCGCAAGACCCAGAAACAACACAAAAAGCGAGAAAAGTTCAGTGAGCAAATCGCGAAAAGCGCTACGATACGGCGTAGCAGCAAACAACATGGAAAAAGCAAGAATCCCGAGAAAAAGAAACGAGCCTCACTATAGGACGACCAAGAAAAACGACAAGAAGCCAAACCAAGGACCGCAGCACGAGCAAAGGGAAGCTCTAGAACGCGCCAGAAAGAGCCAAGCAAAATCAGGCATGACCCAAGCAGAAACGCACTATGCAGTAATATGACATCATGTGTCACAAATCGAAAACAAGCTAAACCGCAAGCCGTAAGAGGAGCTACCGAACTGTAGGAGCCATCTAGAAGGCGAAAAATAAACCAAGCAAAGCAGGCGTGACTAAAGCACCACGGACTACGTGATTACTCAGCAACATGACACCACTAGCCACAGAACGGGAAACAAGGCAAACTGCAAGCCGTAGCACGAGCTATCCAACCGTAATGAGTCACCTAGAGTGCGCCAAAGAAAGTCCACCAGCGTAGGCATGACCCAAGCATCAACAGAATACGCAGTACATGACACCATGAGTCATCGAACAAAACAAGAGAAAGCGCAAGTCGTAACATGACTCGCCAAGCGAAGGAACCACCCAGAGGGCACCAGAGAAAAGAGAAGGCAAACCAGATTAACGGAATGCACCTAGACGGCAGCAAGGGAGAACACGGCTCCGAAGAGCGCCACCTAGTGGCAAAAAACGCAAATCGCGGGGCAGAGACTCCAGCGAAGACCACCAGAGGGAGCCGAGGCAGAACCACCTCTCTCCCAACCACCCTCTCCACTCGGAGACAGGAGCAGGAAAGGCACAACTCACCCAGAGAGCAGCAAGGAAGGCCATCCGCTCCACAGAGCGCCACCTACCGGGAAAGAGAGGGCACAGACTGCCCTCTCCCACAGCACTCCAGAACACGGTAGCGGTGGCGGCACAACCCGGCCAACCACCAAAAGAGCAAGACGTGTTTCCAAAACACTCCTCACGGACATCACGCAGCACGACGTGAACACTATGGCACTCAGAACACAAATGGAGCGAGAGAAACGGGAAGGAGTACGGCC